TACCCTTATCATATCCAATCTCACAAACAGAAAAGTATTTCTGGCAACGTTTGACCTCACTCACCTGGAGACGGCAAACACGCCACCGTTCATGGAGCCAAAGCAGGACAGGGCGACAAAGATTGGAACCGCTAATGAGAAATTGCCCAGGAGCCGCTCGGAAAAGGTCTGGTGAAAGACAGAGCGAAGCGAATTAATGCTCTGCCAGAAGTGGAATAAAATGAAACGACTTAGGCCAAACTCAGCCTGTTACTTTTCTATGAGCTTGGTGATACGTGTCTTTTTTCTAGCCTTTCTCTTCGGTTTGGGTCACAATGACTCAGGAGACAATACTCAAAATTAGGTACCGTGGCATTGCTTGCTGCAAAATCATGGGCCAAGGTTTAAACAAGCACCTTCTCCCTAACTTTCAAAAAAGCAGCAATCCATTGGCCGAATCTTCATCAACTATGGCAAAAATCTATCATTCCGGTAAATGGAAAAAGCTCACTTCAGATGTTCTCCTTTTGGACACAGAAACCTTTGTGTATGACACCTTCTCTTGAGCCTCGAGAGCTGCATTTTGATAGTGCGGCACAAACTGTACACCAGGAAAAATGACAGATACTTGTTTCATATTCCAATCTCAATGTTATGACATAAAAGTGTGGCAAAAAAAAAAAAAAATTGATGACTCAATCATTTAAATCATATCGATGAGCTGTTCAGAAAATCTTTTGCCCAGAATAATCACATCAGTGAACTCTGTTTATTGGATCACTCCCTGCATCTCGGGACTCTGACAATTTCTTCTATGGATTTCTATAAAAAGGCTAGGATCCAAATATGAACCCGAGGAAATCAAACCACAGAAAGTACAAAAAAAAGATAAACAAGACTTCCGAAATTTCTTTTCATGCCCTCGCATTAAGGATGCAGTTTCAAAAACAAAAACAAAAACGAAAACAAAAGACGAGACAAAACAAAAAACTGTGCAATTCTTTAGTTGTCCTTGATGCAGCTGGTGCTGTCAATTAATTAATGGACCACACTACACCCTTTGTCTAGTAAGATGAGTTGTCTGGCTGACATCAGTAAGCTCTGCACCTTTGGGTGTCTGGGAGAACTTGCGGCTGTGGGCAAAGCCTTTTTTTTTCACACAGAGAACTCTCGTATAGGTTCGCGTGAAACAAGATAATTTGTTCCCTGTGGATGTTGCTGATATGAGGTAATAGTGACTATTTTAAAAGGAACTGACATCTAGTGATGGGGAATTATTTTGTTCACCCTTCATTGTTACGAGGTCGTGAATGGATGCTCTCTCACTAGCGAAGTTTTTATACAAAATGCAAGTATCTGTCACAGAATAACAGTCCCATAACGTGGCCGCTGGGAGTGAAGATGGCCCTGAAGTCAAATAAATCTTGGAAAGTGTTGTAAAATTATGAGTATCCACTTCTTAGGGAGTTAAAATGCATACTGCATCTTTAATATCCTGAGAACTACTATAGCAATGACATTTGTTTAACTTTGAATAACTCAGCATGTCCTAAAATTAATAATATTCTTTAATATTAATAATATTCTCACATATCCTAATATATTCAAAAGGATATAAGAGGAAAAGCAAATATATATGGCCCACTTGGAAATTTTTAAATGGTACTTTGGGAAAAATATTTTAAGTTGGCATTTTAAAAGTTCACAAAAAGAGTACAGAATTGCAATTTGCATACCAAAAATGAATTCATTTAAATTCAGTAACTTTCCACCTGTCCTTAAAAACACGTGAAAAGAAAAACGCCTCGTATTCAACATGTATGTGTGGACATGTGTAACATGCGATTAACGCTATCGGGAAATCATATAGGATTTTAACCGTATCACTTAAATGGAATATGAATAAGGTGTGTTCTAAGGTTTTTAAATCTTCATTATCATTCAGGTCAGGAAAAGATTACGGAATGTCAAAACGCTTTCTGCTGGGAGCGACTACTATAAAACTGCCTCAAGTCATTAACCTAAATTCAAACCGGCCTGTCCCCAACTCGGACTTACCACCGCCACTGCATCCAAGAGCCCGAGCTCCTCAGCACTGATGGTCGTGAAGTAGGCCACGTTTGTGAGCACATAGCCAATGGTGACGACGGTCATGGATATACATATGGCGAGGGGGATAGTTCTGAAAGGCACAAACGAATCGCTTGTTAGTCATCTTTTGTTAGGCATTCTCTGAAACCAAAGAAGATAACAGACTGATTCAAACACAAAAATCGAGTGGGAAGGTATGAACCTGCGTGGGGATGAAGCACCCCACGCTCCCTCGTAACGTGACAAGGTCCAGGGGGGCAGACACTTCAGTTGTCCTGTCTGCTGCTCCACCCCCAGAACGGAAGGGTCTACCTCATTCTTGGCCTCCATCAGTGTTTCTCAAACTGGATCCTGCATCCCTGGCAGGCTTGTTAAAACCCAGACGGCGGGGCTCATCTCAGAGTTTCTAACTCGGTAGGCTCTGCGTTTCTAGAACATTCCTGGGCAATTCCCAAGCCACTGACCTCTTGGACAACCACCGTCCTCTACGCCTTCCTACTGCTAGACCCCACGAAGGCCGTTGACATTCGGGATGTCCTCCCCGTCAGCAGCTTCCCTTACCAGCAAACAAACGCACACATTCGGAAGCGTGAGAGCAGGTGAATCTCCCTTTCTCAATGATGGTAATAATAATTTGGTACTTAACACAGAAAGCGCAGCAGTGCTCACAGCTGCGCTTTCCACGGCCCCGCTGAGAGTTCCCAGGAAGCTCAGGGACCTGAGCGTCCACCGAAGCAACGGCGCAGACGATCCCATGAAATGCGAGGCGACGCACTGCGAGGTGCGTGCGACCCGGGGGGCGCCGACGCCACACGACCCGACTGGTCCGGTGCCCCGCTGCCCACGCACATCACTCGCTTAACATCACCACCTCGGCGGACCCCTTCCGGTTCAAGCAAAGCGAACCTTCAGCTCCCCGCAGAAAGGCTGATGTTTCTTTTCTCTTTTTCAAAGCCATAGAGTTTATCAGCCTTCAAGGAGCCTCGACCCTGCTGGGTGGCACGAATGAAGACGTCAATATGATTTCCTCCAAGACGAAAATACAGTTCAGAACGCAATTTTTTTTTTAAATAAAGGGTGGGGGGCGGGGGCAGGGAGGCAGAGCCTGACTCGCTCCTCAGCCTGGGCATGGTTGGCACACCGAGTCCCAGCTCATTACCCAGAACAGCATTGTCCCCTGCTGAGAACAGGCAAACCCAGCCAGTCAGCAACTGCCATTCATTATGCTGCTTGGAGCCTGACACTCCCCTGATCCCCAAAGCCTTAAGCCTGGCTGGGGAAACGCGTCGACCTCTAAATCCTGGCGTCCTGATGTGGAAGGAGCAGATGTTCTCCTTCCCCTGTGTGTGTGTGTGTGTGTGGAGGGGGCGGGGGAGGGGGGTCCCGCAGAATCTTCTGCGAACACCGTAAGATGCACTGCTAGTTGTGATTGATAAATGCTAAATCTAAGCAAAGCAAATCACTGGGCCAATTAACTATAAAGGGGCGAACGGCACAAGGCAGATTAAAGATGAATTCTGTTTCTTTGAAAGAAAGGTTATATGGAAATGCAAAAGAGTAAGAAGAGGAACGTGAAGGTCTATAAGCAGCTTTTCAATCCCTCGCTGTATTATTTTAAATTTGAATCTTTTCAGCTTTATAATAGCCCTAAATGCGGTGTTCAGTTCTTTCTGGGGGTTGGGGGGAGGGACAGAGACTCTCTGTTCCTTGCAGGAATAATATTAAGAAATGAAATGAACAAGTGATTAAGAAATGAAAAGGCGTGGTAATAAAAAGTGAGGTGACTTCCTGTCAAGTGCGGTGAAGTCACCTAACCTGTCCGGAACAGGGAGTCTTGTCATGTCACGTGCTGCCAAACAGCAAGGACACGTAATTCTCAGAGCGGGGCTGGGCTGGGCTCCCAGCCCGCTTCCCGCCAGTCTCCAAGCTGGAGATCATGGGCTTCTGAGGGAGGTTTAAGAAAGGTTTTATAAATTGATCTGAGCAGACGGGATCCTACAATATATATACATATACATATACATATACATATACATATACATATACATATACATATACATATGTTCCCAGGTTAGTTTTCCTTTTTCCCCTCAGCTGTAAACAGCAGCAACAGCAGCTGCTGCCATTAGTGTGGTGTCTGCTACACGCCCAACGTTTTATTAGGCACTCTACGTCTTTGCCTCTTTTTATCCTTGAAAAACCCTGTCAGTTGGAAACATCGTCATCGTTTTATATATGGGGAAATGGTCTTAGGTTAAATAACAGTTTGAGGATACACAGTGGAAACGCAGGTCGATCCAACCTTGAAGTCGAAGCATTTTAGCCACCGCTAAAGGGTATGCGCTCTCTCTCGCACGTGGGTCCTCAAACGCTATTAGTTTTCAGAGAAATCGTAATTGCTGAATATAATGTTTACGCGAAAGCTCTTATCAAGAATTATTTCTCATGTAGTCACTGAATATGCAGTTTCATCGACCATAAAGGAGAGAAAACACCTTATTTCATGATTTTCATACTTTTTCTATGTAACGTGAACTGCAATGTATAGTTTCACCGTTTAAGAATTAGGTTTTCTTTCTTAATTTAAAATACGACAACGGCTAACTCAATTTCCCTAGAAAACTTTGGTAGAAAAGGAGGAAAAAAAGTATAGTAAGCATTCTTGTCAGATAAACTGAACTAGATTATTAAGAACTTTACTATCAGCCAAATATGCTATATTATATAGATATCGGGGGGGGGGGGTATCAAAAGATCTGAAAATATACAAGAGAAAGAGGGTCTAACCCTTGTCTCAATTCATAGCATGCCCAGGAAATCCTCTCTGGGTAAAATGAAGCCCTAGGAATTGGCAGGTGGGGAAAGGGGAGGGTGATGGCAAAATAGCCACACTCTGCTGTCCTTAGATTCTCTTCCACTTTGACAAAGGGAAGGAGGAGAGGGGTTCGTGGCTGCCTCGAGATAAACTGCAATCATTTGCAGAGGAAAAGCAGCTGACTTGTTCAGAAAGGCTTGCCACCTTGCGGTTAGCTCCTGGGTTTCAAGCGTCAAAGCTTAAGAGCCACTGGGTGAGCTGATAAAAGCTATTAGGCCATGCCAGAGCAATCTTCCCGAAGGCTTTAGATGCAGAGGGCAGATAAGCATGGTTAGTAACCCCAGATTAAAGCAAATGGCACATGGTAATAAAAGAAATTAAAGAAACCAGTAGGCCACTGATATTTCAAAGCCTCCAAGTGATGGTGAGGTATCCACTGAAACCAAAGTGCAGCAAAAGCACTCTCTTTAAGCCGAATAAAAATGATTCCACTTGTGAGTTCTACTCTTTCTCAGATGTTTGTGCATATTTGTTATGATTAACAAAATGCAACATATTGAAAAGAGTTACTTACTTAATCCTTAAGAGCTTTCTGTCAGTGTATACAGACTTTCCAAATAACTGGCATTGAGTATGGGAGAATCTGATATTTTTATTAGTTGTGAATGGCCTTCAATCAAAAGGTCTTAGATAGTCTTATATTCTTGCAGGTTTATTTGAAATTGGCACCTAGAGCCAGTCCATGTCACAGATGGATAAATAGTTGCTTCACTTGAAATTATTAAATGGAAGTCTCCAGAACATCTGCTCAGAAGCTCTTTCATTCTAAGGGAAAGACCTCCCCAGGAACCCAGTAGGTCCCAACAGAAATGGCTCGTACTTCGTTCTGTATAATCTACAAAGTGCTAGCGAATACATTTTATCTTCAAATACACACATGTCATTTCAAGTCCTCTGTGGAATGAGCTAGAGTATGAATAATTAACAAACAAAATTCACATCTACCCACAGAAACTGGAGGTAATACCTCCCATTTTCCAACGAGGGAACCAAAGCTCAGAGGGGTTAAATGACGTGGCCCAGGTCACAAAAGCAGGAAATAGAAGGGCTGGAACTTGAACCTAGCTCTTCCAGCTCTAAGTTCCAATATCCGTGACATGTCTCAGCTTCTCATGGATGCTTTGTGCCTACTTAAACTCCATGCATAAGATCCCTAGGATCCTTATATACTGACAAATATGTATCACAATTTGCTTAAGTGATGCAAATATCAGAAGGCTGAATGTTAAAATGTGACACATTTTAAACCAAGTATTTTTTTTTATGTAACTCATTACAAATACACTTGCGAATGGGTTGCATTCTTTTATACTCTTTGTAACCATAATAGAGAATCAGAAATAACCACTGCTTCCAGGGCTTCATATTGGCTAAAGAGATTCTGGCCATGAAACCGGAATGAGTCAACCTAGCTTGATTATATCCGAAAGTGACAGGATTTCTCACATGCAGATTATAGGAGTAATTCTGTAATCATTTGAAATTTGGATATTATTAAAGTTGTTTCGTAACATGAACAAAATCTTCTGGGTTTCATGTAAATCAAAATAGGTTTCATACGATCCCCTGCGTTGGTTACACACAATGAGGACCATAGAACTCATGGATCCCAGGGCACCGAAAATTCTTTGAGCCATGGGTCTGGGCATGACAGTCAGTGCTGTTAAAACCTGCTCTCGTATGTTCTGGAATCTTTTGAGAGAAGTGGTTGATGCTTCGCATTTTCTATTTAAAAATCATAAATATTTTAACACATGTATTTGGCATTCAGCAAAAAGGAGAGAAGAATAAAAGCAGAGATTAAGAAGAGCGAGAAAATGGCAAACTTCTTAACATGTGAGAGACCAAAACAAAACATAATAGGGTTTTCAAAGTGTTTTTTAAATTTCTGTTAGTAAACCAGGCACTATTTGTTTATATAGCATTGATACAGAACTGATTCGTCTCAATATAAATTATTTAAAACTTATTAAGTATCTTTTGATTCCGAGCTGTTTATTTTAGAATCACGCATTTCACGTTTCCATTATAATGACCGCACAGAGACATCGAAAGCTTTCTTGTAGATCTCTGACTCAGAAATTACTTGAGTTCTATCACATCTTTGTTATCTATATATATATATATTTTTTTTTTTTTTTGGCAGAACGACTGTCTATTACTGCTGCTGTTAGTTTTATCTCACTCCTCAAACTTCAGTCACACGTTACAGACAA